TTTGTATCAACACATTTTCATAAACTTCAATTGAAATTAAATTTATTTATATTCAATTTATACCTTATTTGAAGCGAAAAATGTTGAATTGCATACACAAAAATTGATTTATAAAATTTTATCGCTTCGGCTTTTAGCCTATTCTTTTATTATGTTCGGCTTTCGTGTTGCAAATATATAGTTATCTCATTTTCTCATATACAATAAAAGACTTCTAATTAGAAATTCAAATATCACTGACAGTGTAGCCAGCCTATAATTTAAATGTGTATTATCGCACTAACTCGCTTTTGATATGTTCGAAAACAAATAATTGTTATAACATTTAAAATATATATTTTACTGATATAATGAAGTGCAATTTTTTCAACATAAAGAATTTAGCAATGGGTGCCAATTATACAGCTTAATTATATATATATATAGAGCATGCTTAAGGCTTTACATAATTACACGTGTTTTAATAAATTTAATTCCATACTATTTTATATACTAAAAAATCATTTGCTTTTATTTTTTATTTACACACAGTTCACATGTGCTTATAATTTTTAAGTAACAATAATATTAGTACAAAACTCTACTTCGTATAACACATTATTCATAATATAACACAAGTGCATATAGGTGGCATCACTTTAATAAACAGAAAACGCGTGATAAAGTAGAAAATATAACGGCACTAAGCAAAACTATGATAAACAGTCCAAAGAAGGAATAAAGACCGGACAAAATGGAGAACCTATGATTTTTATACATGAACACTTTTTTTTTTGCAAAACAACTTATTAAGAATCATTTCATATTATAAGAAAAAATTTCTTTTTTTTATAAAATTCTTATAATACATTTTCGGAAAAATACATGTAATAATGATTAATGTTCATGCGGCCGACGCCATTTCTATACAAATTTTATCTAGCTATCACTTTTACACTTATTTTGTAATTGCGTTTTTTGAACTTTATTCACATAATCACATAAAACGGCACTGCGTTGATGGAATAAATTTATTAGAAATTAATATTTTTATATGTACCACAATATGTTGTTTTACTCTTGAAATATGTACTTGAGACTTTTTATTTAAACTATTACAAAAATTGTCGTTTAACTATACATAAAATGATAAATATTTTTCAGCGAACAAAAACGATACCTGCAAATGGTGAGACTATATTAATATTTGCGAATGCTACCAGACCACAAAAAATCAAATCGATGCATAAAACACAATATGACATAACCACATGTTATACACACAAGTTACCGATAGAGTCTAATCGGCATTTTTGACATTACCTTTTCTATTAAGAATTTTATTTATTAAAAACAGATATTTTTTCATGTATATTTCTGTTATAATAAAACGCTCATTTTGATATTGCAAAATATATATGAAGTTATTGAGTAATTTTTGTGCAGACTAATTGGGCATTGAAATATAAACTATAATATATTAATTATATTTAAATAAATTATATTTTATTGAAATACTAGTCCAATACTTCGACTATTTTCGATAGTCAGTTTCAGAGAATTGATCATTACTTAAATGATCCGGGTTAATTACCCGGTCAAAAATTATATAAGTTTTTTGGTCACAAAAAAGAATAAAATATATAGAAGTCGAATATATATATATATTATATATAACATAAAAAAAACTTGTAGCTCATATAAACATTTAATATTTAGTTAAAATTACCTGTCAGATTCGATTTTCCACGTATATAAATACAATAAGCTTCACAAAGGTCTTTGAACCAGTTTCTTGAATGCTCTCTTATGAAGCACTATAGGAAAGATATAAATTAATGAATGCAATGAATACAATAATGAACACAATAAGTTTCACAAAGGGATTTGAACAAATTTCTTGAGCTCACATAAACATTATAAACATTTAATATTTAATTAAAATTACCTGTCAGATTCGATTTTCCACGTATATAAATATAAGCTTCACAAAGGTCTTTGAACCAGTTTCTTGAATACTCTCTTATGAAACACTATAGGAAAGATATAAATTAATGAATAGAATGATGATCACAATAAGTTTCACAAAAGGATTTGAACAAGTTTCTTGAGCTCACATAAACATTATAAACAATTAATATTTAATTAAAATTACCTGTCAAATTCGGTTTTCCACGTATATAAATACAAAAAACTTCACAAAGGTCTTTGAACCAGTTTCTTGAATGATCTCTTATGAAGCACTATAGGAAAGATATAAATTAATGAATGCAATGAATACAATAATGAACACAATAAGTTTCACAAAGGGATTTGAACAAATTTCTTGAGCTCACATAAATATTATAAAATTTAATATTTAGTTAATATTACCTGTCAGATTCGGTTTTCCACGTATATAAATACAAAGAGCTTCACAAAGGTCTTTGAACCAGTTTCTTGAATATGGAACACTATAGGAAATATAAAAATTAATGAATGCAATGAATACTATAATGAACACAATAAGTTTCACGAAGGGCTTTGAACAAGTTTCTTGAGCTCACATAAACATTATACACATTTAATATTTAGTTAATATTACCTGTCAAATTCGGTTTTCCACGTATATAAATACAATAAACTTCACAAAGGTCTTTGAACCAGTTTCTTGAATGCTCTCTTATAAAACAATATAAGAAAGATAAAAATTAATGAATACAATAATGAACACAATCAATGAATGCAATGTTTCACAAAATACTTTGAACAAGTTTCTTGAATGCTCTCTTATGAAACAATATGGTAAAGATAAAAATTAATGCCAAGTAAAAAATTTTCAATATTTGAAAAAAAATCCTAGCTTACTAAGATTGTTAAAAACTTCTTAACATGTAAAAATACAACTACAATTTCCAGACTACTAAATTTTTGAATTTCATTTTTAAATCTAGTGGTACGTTTACATAATGCTTATCTTGACTGCAAATTTTGTCTAATTTTGTCAATTACCAGACTACTAAATTTATATATTTCATTTTTAAATCTAATGGTACGTTTACATAATGCTTATCTTGACTGCAAATTTTGTCTAATACAAATTAAGTATTTACACTTTAACATCCAGAATTTAGCGAACAGTGAGACAAGCAAAAAAAAAGAAAAAGGAATTTAATTTTTATTTAAGATTTACTTTTCAATATGATTCGTTATAATTTGATTTTTAATTCTGACTCAAGTTGTTAACTATTGTTTTCTATTTATTTAAAATAAATAGAAAATTTACAAGTTATTCGTCAATTCCTTGATTTCTATGTTTAATTTATTAAATACAATTGATTTTATAGCATAGACGAGATCACACATTATTATTAAGTCTGTATATGTTCATTTTTTGCTAATTTGAAATATTGAAATTATCATTTGTGGAGTTTATATGACCAGGTCTAGTTGCAATTTATTGTTCATTAAAGTTTTCAATACTAGTAATAGTACCAATTTACATCAAATTATAATAAATCAATATTTATTTATATTATTGAAACTTAATAAATACAAATATTGGCCGTGCTGTTTTATTATTTATTACATATTTTATTTTTTTTAGTACATATTTTATTTTACAATAATATATGTGACTGTTTTCATTTGATTAGTTTTACTGAAAAATTGAATTAATATAGATACGGGTTATATACAATTTAATAATAATAATTTAATAACAAAAAACATGATATCATTATAGCGATAATAGAAATAACTTGTCAGGAAATTTTTAAAATGATAATTGAACGTATACACTTGTTAAGATAAATTCGAAAATAAGATAACGATAGTCTAAACATACAATTATTATACTTAAGTTTAACTAATTTTCTTATAGTACATTTACACAGTCTCATTTAGGCACTTGCTCATTTATATAAATGAGTGAACGTTCACATTATAATCAGTTCAATTATGCACTTAGCGGAATTTTATAAATCTTGCCTAATAATACATCACATAAAAAAATTTAATATATGATAGATCATTTATATACATTTAATATATCAATTAATTAATACTTACTTCTTAGGTGCTTTTGTTTACAGCTGAGCTGTAGTTTGTTTACATTTTACATATAAAACATATGTCGCATATTTAAAATATTTTTAATTTCTTTTGTGGGAAATTTATTTTTAAGAATTGCATTCGACATTTTTAGCTTTAGCTGACTTATTGATAATGAGCTCATTTATTTGAAATCTTTTTGTATAGTAAATCATCCTCATTAGTGGCTATAATGAGCAAAACCGTTTAAATAAGACAATGTGTATGTGCTAAAACCTATATAGGCCGTGTGCGAATTCAAGTATATCGAGGGGAAATAGTAAATTACTTGGTATGGCAGCGAATGTTGGTATTTACCAGAATTTCAAGTAGGGTACATTAGATAAAAATTAGGTGTTATCATTATGAAAATTTAAAAAAATTTTTAATAAATATATGTATAAATTTGAAAACTTTTAACCAAATAATAATAAGTGCAATAAATAAAAAAATAAACATTTACATAAGTGCAGTGCAAAAAATACCTTTAAAATTTCGAATTACTTTGCCTTAATTTACTCTAACTCGCACACGGCCTCTATAGTAATTAAGAATAATAAAAGGCTGTTTTATATTATTAATTTTAGTTGTGTTTTTATTGCATGAATTATCATAGTGCTAGACCAGAGATGTAGCCGATTATATATTTAATTTTCAACACAATCCGTTTGTTTTGTTTTTGCTGCTCCTATTGAAATATGTTGTATGTATCATTTTTAATATTAAATAATTTTTTTTTTTTTAACTATATACGCTCCATATGCCGACATAACTTTTATGTACAATATTTCATCGAAACTCATATATAATATAACATCTCTGTGTAAACATATGCTACTTTTGACATTTCTAGTAATTGCCTTGTGTGCAGGCTTTTTAAATTAAGTAACAAATTATTTGATACTTTATTGCCACAAATTGTATTAATTAAAATTTAAAACAATGTCGATTTCACCTCTGTCACCAGCTAGCGGCATTGGCCGTTTTTACAAACGATCTGCGAAAATTATACGATTTCAAAGAATGGGCTGTACAAATCGTCCGTTTTTTCATATTGTCGTAATGGAGGTATGTATATTATTGAAGTCTTAACATTGTTCAATATTACATTGTTGGATTTTATAGCGAAGAAAAGAGCAACACCAACCCATCATAGAGCAAGTTGGAACTTACGATCCGAGTCCAAATCAATATAATGAGCGATTAGTAGCGTTTAATTTTGAACGTATACGACATTGGTTAGGTAACGGCGCTCATCTTTCAACGCCAGTTGCTGAATTATTAGGAATTTCTGGACTTTTGCCAATACATCCACGTACTTATATGACAGCTTGGCGTAGTAGGCAAAAAATTGCAACAAAGGAAGCAGAAGATGCCAAAACAAATGCAAATGTTAAAGAAGATTCAGTTAAACAAGACACATAAATCTTGAGACAAATCAGCAATAATTATTTTAAGTTTTGTTTAAATTTTAAATAAAAAGCTTCCACCACAAGCTATTAAAAAAAATAGTTTTAATGATTACTAAAAAATATTCAATATTCTATAAATTGATATTTTTTGTTGGTTATCTATTGGAGTTTACAAAACTGCCTTCTTCAAAAAAATTGTTCTTAATATTTGTATATTTGTTTATGCGGTCTTATTTAATGCTTTTGTTGTATATCCATTGGGGCTTGCTTGTGAAGACCTTTTGGAAGAAGGCGAATGGCACTTGATCATCACTGGCGACGAAAAGGTCCCGGGACGCTTAACATATATTTGTTTATGCGATCCTATTCAAAAAGAATAAATCCATTCTTGCATTTACTATTGCATAGAACTAAGGATTTTCTTTAAGATAATTTTGATTGAACACTAAATCATAAGATTCAGCTTCCAACAGTCCAAATTTACTACACATACATTTTAAACCAACTGTGAGAATATAATAAACTTTAGCTAATTATTCTAAACCGTTATTATTCATATCTTGTTTTATTGATTACTAAAATTAACACAATTCACTTATTTAACGATCATATTAAACAAACTTTCATATATTTCAGTACATAAAATTTTTGTTATTTATATAAAAAAATATATATGATCCCAAATCCTTATATAACAATGTGTCTAAAATCAATTATGCGGTGTGATAAAATAAAAGTGTAGAGAGATTTCAAAAGTATTATGGTTGAAGAAGCTTCTTAAATTTTTGTATAAAACACCGAATTAAATAGGAAACTGAAGACGTGTTTGTAACGTTTATTCTTTCTTTAATACAGCTTCTGCGGAATTCCTGGCTTTATTAAGAAAGTCATCAATTGCCTTATCAGCAGCTAAAATAAATAAATTATAACAATTAGCATTACAAATGATAAAAGACGAATAATAAGTAATAAATCTCACCCTTGTGATGTTTTAAGAAGAATGGACGAACAACGTGTGTATAAATAAGAAATGAACCATTTTTCTCGATTGGAAGCATGCACCAGATTAGGAAAACGCACTATTTAAAAAAAATTAATATAAGATTCGTAAATATCTAATTTAGGAAACAAAATTACCTTAAGCAGCCAATAGAATGGTATGATGTGGGTCAATACAACTGAAAAATATTCAATAATCGATAAAAGTCCATAGCACACCCAATATGTTAGCCACTTTGTATCATCCAATTTTGGTGAGGATTCAATAGCATGAATTGATATATAGGCAGGATATACAACACCAATAATGTTACATAGAAGTTGAGCGCCATAACCAAATATCAAATAAAAAGCACAAAATGCTGCAACACCTATAGAGAAATAAAAAAAAGAAAAATAATTTAAATTTATTTATTATAATTTATTAAATATATTTAAATAATTTAAATTTTTTTTAAAATAGAAAATATTTATACACAGTTAATATATAGAAATTTTTAAGCCTAACGATAAATTTGCTTAGTTTTGTCTTTATATTTGGTGCTGTTAGCTGTTACTTCTATTCTTAATGCTAGTGTTTATTTTTTTTTTGGTAATGTTTTTAATATTTGCATTAATTTTTCTTGATGCTGCTGGCTAGCATTTATGACTTTCTATATTTTACTGCACAAACATGAGGTAACTTAAGCAATCAATGTTTGCTTGGGTCAAGAGATATGACTTCATTTAATATTCTCTGTTGAGGATTGTTTATATTTATTTAGAAGGTATTTGTAGCAATAGTTAGAATAAAAAGGTGTAGAGATAGGCTGTATCACCGGTGGATTGATATAAAACGTACTTGCTGTTCAAGATTGGAAAAGGCGAGCAAGCAGTGGAGACGCCGGAAGAGACATACTGCGTTAGGCTTAAACCCAGTAACGGGCTGTTATAACCATTTAATTAAGTGTTTATTTTCAATATATTTTAGTGATAAAAAGTGTATTTTTATTGATATTATTTATTAGTTTAAGAATTCCGTTATGTGTTAACCATAGACTACGTGTTTTAGAATATTTGGTTAATAGACGTATTGCGACCTCGTGAAGTATTATGTTAAATTTACTATTTTCAATAGTTCTATTTAAATTAAAAAAGAAAAAAACAATTTAAAATTGAGGAACTTTATAACGAAATTCGTAATAACAATATGCAACACACTTATCATGGATTATATACTGTATTCCCTATAAGTAAAGGAGATAAGAAGAACTTAGTAACATTATTAATACATATGTAGTGTAATAGATATTTCGAATGTAGCGCCAAGGAATACTACCTAAAATATACTATGTTGTTCTATAAGTTCGTGGAATGTGATATGCTTGTCTATAATAGAACTAAAAGTTCGAAGTTATATTAATATTTTATCTCTAAATAAGAAAAGAATTTCACAAGTATATAAATAATATTTCATTTCGATTTGTTAATTTGTTCTTTGTTCACATGTCATTTGAAGATAACGTGTCAGTGTAAAATATTGTTTATCATGCAATGATTAAAATTTAAAAAACAAAAATAAAGACTTAACGATGAAAATTTAATACACCGAAGTGGCGAATGGATAATGTTCGTAAGTGGGCCAGTTTCTTAAAAAGAAGTTGCACAAATTTTGAAGATTTCACGTAAACGATGTCCAAAAACATTCTGAACACCAGAAAATGATTTACAGATAGAGATTAAGCAGAAGCTCTAGGCATTTTTTTAGGCATAGCGCCGAAAAATATATCATGTCAAGTTTTGGGTATCAAGAAAGTGCTTTATGGGTACAAGTTTACTAACATCTTTAAAATAATAAACAAAAAGAGGTGCAACTTCATTCACAAAGTAGTAAAAATTCATTAGGATGATCGGAATTGTGAGGCCACCAAAATTATCGTCGCAGTTAATAGAGAGTAAAAGTGCACAGGTGCACTGACTCAACTCAACTAGGCTCAACATAGTATAAAAAACAAATTCCTATCCAAAATTGGTTCAGAAAGAATTTGCGTTCATTTTTTAGGAGGTAGATTATGTTAGATTACCTGCAAACTGAGAAAAGAATAACGCATTAGAATCTTTTGGAACAAAGGCATGAAAAATCACTATAGGATTGTATGAGGCTAATTGATCAATTACTTTCAACTATTGTTATAAATAAAAAAATGCTCTTGAAATATTAAACGGTTTAAACCAAAAAAATAATAATTCTCTACCAAGACAATCTGCTCATACAGTCGAAAAAATCAGTGAATCAAATCATGTATGAACTGTAACAACAGTTAATCTGTTTGCCAAATTTACTTCCATCCATAGTTTTTATCACACTTCAATAAATTCCTTCGTGTAAAAGATGTCTCATCTAACAATCAGCATATTTGCCAGATTTGCTTCTCGTTGGCTTTTAACAAAAGAGAAAAATATGACTCTTTTAATGAGTTAACATGAAAATGAGCAGTTAACATGAAAGGAAATATAAAGATGTATATGGGTAGTGTGAAAAGAAAGGGGATTGTTTAAAAGTACAAATGGATTAAACATGGATGAGATATAAATTGAAGTCAACCAGTGTCAAGGTGGAGAAACCTAGCAACTTCAACTGAGCGAGCCGAAATAATCGTTCTATTCGCCAATTTTACTTCTCTCTACAGTTTTTTCGTTCTCCTCAAAATATTTTTTCTCATTTTCATGGAAAATAAAATAAATCAAGAGATATACTACCTTTGACTATCAGCTATTTTTTCTTACTACTCAAAATATTCTTTTATAGAAATTGTGGTCATACAAAAAGACCAGCCTATTGTTCAATTTCACTTTTCTCTGACTACTTTTTTTGCGCGCCTTATAATGTATCGAATATACTTCTCTCTGACTATTCATTCTTGGAAGAAAATGTATCTCATTTAAAAACCATCCAATGCGTCAAATTTACTTCCTTCAAACTACTAACTTTTCGTACACCTCAAAATTTGTTTAGCTTGACTTCTCTCTAACACTAATCTGTTCTCACAGGACAATATATTTTTCATAGTCAGTGTGTCCCATACAAAGACCAGCCTATTCATTAGATATACTTCCCTCTTACTATAATCTCTTCTTAAATCACAATATATTGTTTTATGAAAGTGTATTTCATACAAAGACCAGTCTATTCGTCAGATTTACGTCCCCCCAACTAATTATCTGCTATCTACAACTCTATCTCAAGACCAGCCTATTCGTCAGAATTACGTTCCTCTAACTACTATTTTTTTACAGTCTTCGAAAATTATTCTTATGCAGCCAGTACCAACCCATTGGCAGTGGGCTTTATTTTCAGAGTAAACAAAAATGTAAATGTATGTATATAATTAAACTATTTTAATAAATCTGAATTTCCGTATCCCGATTGTTTATATGTAGGCCGTATTTATTTTATTTTAATGTTAATTTTTTCTTGACGAGATTGACGCGTCTTTATGACGAAAAGAAACTAAAAGTTAAATGGATTCGAATAGCAAATAAATTTTATTTTTAGGAGTGATGTATGTTTCGGTTAAAGACGTTCAGTGGGTATATGTTAATTTTTTTTTTAATTTAAAAAAAAGAAATGCTAAGTTTCAAATTCACAAATCGATTACGTGTTAAAGTATGTGTATGTATTCCAAGTGTTAACGTGTAAAAAGGTTCTAGATAAAATTGTAATAAAATTTATATATTTAAGTATGTGCTATTTATGCTAATCATGATAATTAAAATAACGCTGATGATGATGCGAAGCGATCAAAGGTATTTATTTAGAAGATGTAAGTATATATGTATGTAAGTATATAGAGCAATGACTTTCGACATTGTGAAATGCAATTGCATTTATTTTATTATATTTGCTAAAACTAGATTTTTAATTAACTTAAAAAAAGGTAATTACTCATTCCGAAATGCTGATTTAACATTTTGCAATGAAGTTAAAAATATATCACGTATCACTAAGTATCACTAACGATAAATGAACAATTTAAGTTAATAGATAAAATATTAAAACTATTATTGTTATCATGAAAGAAATGGAGTTAAGCATGACTAATTAAATTATTTCGTTATTTTGTTAATAGTTTAAATTTAATTGTTGTTGTTGATATTCATTATAGACGTGTAGCACTAGAAATTAAGCAACACACACACAAATATATACACCAATGTGAAATACACACCGATTCCAATTTTAACTAAAGGCACACTTATTTCCTTTCGATGTTGTTCTCGGCGTTTGATTTTCATTATCCAATCGCATAGCCACATTTAACAATGCCTTACTGAGGTAGGCAAGAAGGTCAGCAGGCAGTTCCAAACAGGTTTATGTCATAGAACACAGGTACAAAAAAAAAACAAAAAACTGAATTTAACGCGTTGTTTATAGTAAACTACACCAAACTGTCAAACTTAAAGACACGAACGGAATTTAAAAAAAATTTAAAATTATGCCCTGAAATTGGAGACTAAATATATGACTCTTGACTATATGTGCAAGCGATGTTGCCAAAATGCGCAAAAACCTATTAAACAATATGTAATAACGCAGTTAAATGTAATAACGCAGTTAAATGTAAAAACAAAAAAAAGTAATTAAGAAGTATAAAAACTCTGCATTTTGACATTACCTATAAAAATTATAAAAATGCGATAAAACGAGGAGCAATTTGTACACGAAGAATACGAAAGAGAAGAAGCAACAAAAGACAAACGAAAAAAGATCATAGAAAATTTTCCCGGTACACATATCACATATAAGATATAAAAAACAGTTCCTCCGAAATTATTTATATAAGCTAAAAAATATAAAGTTCTTTGTAAATTATTAAATTATATATTATTTTTGCCAATTGAAATTGCCCGAAGCAGATATATTAATTATATTTTCCATTTTTAGCTGCAAACTATATTTGGTATGCATGCTATTTTTACGCACATTTTTTTTTTTGTACGGTAACACAAATCGATTTGCCAAACTTACCAAGAAATAAATAAACGCGTGGAACACCGGTCTTTGCTTCCACAACATCTAAAGCTTGAGTCCATGGTTTGGATGCGTCATGTAGAGATTCATCGAGAATTTTTTTATATTGGTCCAAACGCTGTTGAGCTACTTGTTTTGCTTGGTCCATTGTGAGTTTTTATTTGAATTCGTTATAAAATCTTTTGTAGTAAAAATAATTCGTCAATTGCTTTATTTAAATAAATATATATTTTTTTAGAAGTGACAGATATTATAAATAATTGTATTACTTTTTTTTTTTGTAATGAATTATTTCTTAGTATTCTTCTAGACTATCTGAAAAGAAAAAAGCCAATGCTATGTTGACTATCACTTCAACGCAATCGACGAACCAATGATTGTTAAAACACATTTTAGCTGTCAAAAACATTATATGCATTGAAACGTATACAAAGAAATGTACTGTATTCAGTATTGCCATACTTAAATTCTGAGGATATATTTATGAAAACGTTGCTCATAAGTTTGATTTTATTTATAATTACCATTATATATTCTGACAGTTTATGTTGATAACTAATACATTTATATTTAAATAACAACGTATTAAAAAATTTTCAAATTAAAGTATTTCAAATTTAGGTCGTGTGCGAGTTAGGCTAAGTTGATGCTAAACCAAATGGGAGATTTTTTGGGATTTTTTGCACTGCACACATTTAGCCATTTATCAACACGTATCGACACATCACTACATTATCGGCTCATCTTAGAATTTCCCTTATTTAGAACGCAATTTAGCCTAACTCGCACACGTCCTTAATTTAAAGTTTGACTTTGGACGTGTGCGAGTTAGGCTAAGTAGATGCTAAACCAAATGGGAGATTTTTTGGGATTTCTTGCACTGCACACATTTAGCAGTATTATATGCTCTTTAATGATTTTTAGGTTTTTAAATAAATGATGGAGTAAGGATGTGTGCGAGTTCGAATAAATTGAGGTAGAGTAATTTGAAATATTCTAGTGATATTTTGCACTGCATTTATGTAAATATTTATTTATTTCTTTATTGCACTTCTTCATTATTTTTGGTTAAAATTTTTCACATTTATTTATTAAACATCTTTTTAAATTTTCATAATGGTAACACCTAGTTTTTATCTAATTTACCCTATTTGAAATTCCAGTAAATATCAACATTCGTTGCCATACCAACATAATTTACTATTTACCACAATTTACCATCAATTTACTCAAACTCGAACACGTCCTGAGCATGTAATATGGTTAAGGCATAAAAATTATATTTTTAAATATATTTACTTTTATAAATATATATAGAAGGAATATGAATGAATTTTAAACAAAATATTTTGTTTAATAAAATTTTCGCGCGAATAGTTCTCAGCAGCAACTGTAAGCACTCGCATATGATTATTTACATTGATTTGTTCGTACGAACTGGCAAGACAAAATTCGCATGCGATGTAATCGTAGCCTAAGCCACCAAAATCCTAGCCTCACTCAACAAAAAAAAAAAAATACGTTTACCCCACAAATTTAATTCCTATAAAAATTTTGTTAATTATTTTAAAGTAATATAGAATATATTTTAAGTATATGTGAGAGAGTTAGTTGCGATTTTCAACTTACTATTTTTAAAAAATGCGCTATGAGAAATTCATGAAAATTATTGAGTGTGATTATCTATAAGATCAGATAAGTTTGTGTCTGATCTTGTCAACTTTGGAACACTCATTAATGATTGGCTTTTCACGAAAAAAAAACAAAAAACCAAAGTTAAAAATAAATATAGGTCGTGTGCGAGTTAGGCTAAGTTGCGTTCTAAATGAGGGAAATTCTAAGCTGTGCCGATAATGTAGTGATGTGTCGATACGTGTTGATAAATGGCAAAATGTGTGCAGTGAAAAAAATCCCAAAAAACTTCCCATTTGGTTTAGCATCAACTTAGCCTAACTCGCACACGTCCATAATGTCATATTTTCTTTCTAATAAAAACAGTGTACGCAAAAAGTACGGATACGTTTTTAAGTAAAACTTGGAATCATATGATTTTTTTACTAGATTTTACTAGCAGTTTTATTTGAATAAAGTAGAAATGACTTTCAAATTTTACAATATATTTTTTATTATAAATTTCGTGTCATGACGACAATTCTTCAAGCAAATTTTATTTAAACGAAATAACAACTTGCACTTACATACACTTTCACCTTACTAGATTATGTGTACGCGAACAGAAAATTACAAAAACCAAGTAACTTTTTACTTGTGTTTTACTATAAGTACGTACGGGAACAGGTCTATATAGATCATTGCTGTTTTGTCTAATATTTTTATGTGTTACTAAAAAAGAAACGAAAGATTTGCTTAACTTTTGAATATTTTTTTTATTTACTTTTAGTTTATTCCCATATACCTTTTGTTTATTCAGCATCATTTTATCCTTTTTTACTTATTTATAATTATATAACAGTTAAATTTAAGTTTATTAAGTTAAGTTTAAGTTTATTTATAATTCTTTTTTACTGGAAAAAAGAAAATTTGCAAAAACCTTTTTCAAAACTGTTTATATTTAAACTTAATCATCTACGGATGAAAAACATTAAAAAATTTAATTTTTTTTTGCATTTCTAGTAATTGCAAGTTAAAAAAAATAAAAAATTTGCGGATTAAGAAAATTACAGTAAAGGATATTACAGTAAATGTGATTATTATGAGGAAGCTTTTATGTTCTATGTTCTATACCTATCAGTATGACTTAATATTAATGAAGTTATGATAGTAAGATAATGAAGTTGTTAAAATATTAATTAAATTATTTAAAATAGAACCCAAATAACCTTATTTACTATTTAGTTCTAAAGTGTTATTATTATTATTTCTAAATTTGTAATCTCTTCGCTTAGACATCTTAATAAATCCATTAATCGGGTACTCGAAACATGTTGTAATAAAAAACGCTACTATATTGCTAAAAATATAACTACATATAATAATTGTTATCTGAAAGATATGGAATTCAAAATAGTGTAAAACTTTATAAATAATATATTTAAAATACCACATTAAGCCGACTAATGTAAATTGGAGGTCTATACAAAGTAGCCATTAAATGCAGAATGGCGAAATGCCATAGATATGCTTGGAAAGATATTTTCGCTAAAACTGTAGACGATGGAAGCACTGACGTTTTATGAAAAATTCCTATAAATAAAAATGAAATAAATTAAATAATTTAAAAATAAAATTAAAAATATTCATTTTATAGTATCTAAGTATGTAATATGAAAACAGTTGCTATAATTTTATAACTTACCTCCCATTTTAAAGCACATGCCAAAAACAAATAATCCACATATGATAACCCATAAATTTTTGTATAATCCTGCAAAAATTGCAACAAAAATAGATGGCTTCTCAAAAGTTTGTTCCATCATTAAAGTTCCAATAGATATTAATACAAAAAACATTGGAATGAGTGACCACCAGGCCAGCTTATACTTGAGAATTCTGTGATAATTCTGTGTAGCATTATTATTATTATTTACTAATTTTAAAAACACATCCGAACAGATAATGCCACACAAATATCCGCTAATATTGGTATAGAAAGGTATATAAGTTTGGTAGAACGTTTCATTATTTCTGAAGTACAAGTATCGGTATGTTCTGAAAAATATATGTATGTATAAAAGTATTTATTTTACGAGTATCGAAAAATATATGTGTTATGTATAATGGAAATGATCACAATATATTAAGTGTGATTGGTTAGTGGTAATTTCTTTGTTGTCAGAAAATGTTCCTAAATTTCTGGTAGAAATTGTTAAAATTACAACTACTTAGAGATATGTACCAGACAAGGTACCTTCTGCTCAAAAAGTACCCGGATTTTGTAAATAAAATACACAAATTTAAATTTTATTCCAAATTTATTTTATCTCCTTCAAAATATGCTTCTTCTAAAGCGATACACATATGCCAACACTTAATCCAATCTTCCATACACTTTTCGTAGGCCCGTGCAGGTATGGCTTTTAGTTCCTTCAGCGAATTCTCTTTTACCGATTCAATCGACACAAAACGCTTACCACGAAGGGTAAGCGATCCAGATCTGGCGAGTATGGTGTCTGAGCGATGACAGTGGTGCCGTGAGTGGTCAAAAAAATGCGTACAACAATAATTTTCCATAGTAAAAATCGCTAAATGCACTTGAGGTAGTCTCACATTAACAGCTGCTGTAAACAAACTGATTGATAGATGGCGCTCGAATTTGTACCACATGTCAAGAAAGGGTGTACCAACATACTAAAAAAAATTTTGAAAACGGTCTATTAGTTAAGGAGTAGTTAACAAACAACAAAATCCGGATACTTTTTGAGCAGAAGATATACTCAAGCATTGACAATATGAGCATTTTTATCCAATCAAAAAACTATCTTCTCATTTAAATTGATTTACGAATATTTTGAAGTAATTAAAATCCTATTTGGGAAAGATAGGATATGAAGGTACATATATATGAAAATATGAAGGTAATGAAAGGGTAGACAAATGAGTTGCAGTTAGTCTCTACATAGGTCAAAAACTATTCTACGGAGTTAACAATACTGTCAGTAATAGCACGATATGTGAAAAATAGAAGAAAAGTCTCATGACTATCCATAAAGGCGCACGATAAGGAAACAGGGTTGTCAACTCTAAACAAATTAATTTGGAATCTATTTTAAACCTAAGCAAAAAAGATATAAAGATATAAAAATTTACCCTTAACTAAAAATAGGTCACCGTTTATATAAAAACCCACTTTTTTGTATTAAATTTGATCAGTTTTTATATTAACTTCTCATACAATTATCACATCTAATATGACGAGTAACATTACTAGGCAGCCCTAAATCTATCCTTAATAATACATCAAGGGTTTATATATTATATACTTACTCTGGATACATGTGATAAATTGGTTCGAGGTTTAAGTAGTATGTTAATAAACTTGGTATCAAAAAAGCACATAGAATTAACACAAAGTATATGTACTTCTTCAAATTTGGATATCTAGAGATAAAGTTAAAAGCGGAATACTGTAGTTTAAGAAATTGTAGGTTATTTTCTTTGAACTTACTTTGCTGTAATTATTGTGATTATTAGAAATAATTCAAACAGTTGCATATCGGCTGCAAGATACCAAGTCTGATGTGAACACTAAAAACAAAAATTTAGAAATCATTTCAAATAATAAATTTATCTTACACTATATTTCATAAAGAAATTATTAATAAAAAGTATGTTCTTCCACCAATACTCTCGACAAAAGGTACGGTCTGGCTGTGCTATATGCAACCAAAGAGGTCCATCTTGTAATTTATTTAGTATTGTACCAGTGAAAAGTATATATAAAAGCAGAGATGGGAGAAATCTGCAATTTGAGAAAGAGTTAATAATAACTAACAAACTAAACATTATAATAAATAATTTATTTTGAACAGTCTCAATAAATTTCAATATAAATGAAGATCTGTTATCCACTTTATAAAATATATGAAGCCTGTGGACTTCATTAAATTTGATCTATAAATAGATAAATATTCAGAGTACAAAGTTTCAGAAATTCAAAATTTTCAGTCAAAATAGATTTTTTTCCTTTCTTAGTAAGCTCCATCGGCTGCAAAACAACTATGTCAGCGTTTGATCCAATTTTTGACATATTTTTCGAAGATTGATTAAGATATGGTCTCAAATACTTTTTAATTTTTGTTTGCCCACAATCAACTTTAGACGACTTTTTCAAAGCCATATATAGGAAGCCAAATCAGTTGAGTACGGTGCTTGGTCCATCACATTTCTTGAGTTTTTTTGTGAAGAACTTAAAAACAACGCAGTATTTTTTATATGCCTTTTTAAAATTCCGAATACTTTGTACACTGTTTGTATGTTTGTAAAATGAACTATATATATGTGTAAGTTTTAACCAGACAAAATAACTTTTGAAAACTAGCTCTAGAAATTCTTGTATGTATACTCGAATATGCTATATCTAAATATAACAATAATAGAAAAATTTGAATCATTAATCCCAGTAAATCTTACGCTTTAAAAATCCTCAATATAACACAACATTACCTGATATCAACATCTTAAGAAATGTTAGAGATATAGATTTCTAATATAAGCTTGTTTTAACCATTACTGAAGTAGGGCGGAACAATAAATTCTAAGACCATGAAGAAAACACTATAGATTTTAAGATGGTCTTGCCGTTTAAACTAAAATAGTTATACTTTACAATCAGAATAAAAACGAATAGAATGAATCTATTGCATAAATACGAAAATACGTTAAGTAGAATGAATATATTAAATTTTGAAAACCCTGGAAAGTATATATATTCTTACTTCTTCTCCAGTGATATAACGTATGTCTGTCTTTTTTAAGACAAACTAGGCTCATAGTATTTGAGACACAGATATTTTTACTCAACAATGTGAGATACACTGATCTAGGCATATAACGTATGTCTGTCTCACTCAAGACAAACTAGGCTCTCAGTGTTCAAGACACAGATATTCTTACTCAACAATGTGAGATACACTGATCCAGGGATATAACGTATGTCTGTCTCACTCAAGACAAACTAGGCTCTTAGGGTTGAGACATTTGGTTTTCGGTAATTTTAGTGGCGTCAGAGCATTTTTTTCTGTCCTAGTAGTGCTTATGCAGTAGCAGTTATGAAAATCTAAAATTAAAATAAACTTGTGTGGTTGATAAGATAAATTATTTTCGGAAGATCAATGTTTGAGATGTTCACTAGACTTTCACACATACGGTCATAAAATTTAAAGTTGTAAAACCAGCTTGCGATCTTGATAGAGAAGTCTATTTTTAGAAGATCTATGTTTAGGATGTTCACCTTACTCATTAGTTCTAAAATTTAGGTAAGTTTATGAGATAAATGAATGAAATTCAGTCTATGGGACTTCTTAGACAGAAATCTGGAGTGTTTATATATTAGAACTGGCATTTAAAAAACAAGTTATGTTAATTAGACTTAATTTTCTATCTTACTAATCCATTTAGATAACAAAATCGTGGCATTCAATAATTATATTTTTGATAATACTGCAAAGGTTCTAATACAGCTTGGTGGATTGTAACTTTAGGATTAATAAGGATGTTAATTAGACTTCATTTTCTATCTAACTAATCCGTTTAGATTACAAAATCATGGCATTCAATAATTATATTTTTGATAATACTGTACAGATTCTAATACAGCATGGTGGATCAAAGTTTTAGGTTCTTATTTGTTTTACAAGAAACAAAACATGATGATCGTTACGAATTGTTAAAGAGGATTATGTATCCACAGGAGTATTATTATTTATTATTAACTATACAAAGCCTACCCAAAGTCCCTTAAAGCTTTGTTAACAAAGTCCAGAACTAAATTTAGAGAAGAGCTTTTAGTCTACAAAGGAGTAACAAGTGTGTTTGATTGTTTATTAAATAAAAGAGTACAACACCTATTTGTTATTTGTATGGTTAAATTAGCAATTCCCACATCATCCGCAAATGAATAAAGCAATAGTCAACACCTTGAAGACATTATCTGCGTCAGTATCTATATACTTTATATACTTTGGCTGTTATTTTTAAAAACAAATGCAAAAGAATTTATATAAGATTGTTAATATCTATTGAGAAACTCACCTTATATAGCGGAGTATGAATATCTTAAAATAAATCACAATTCCTTGCTTAATATCGGTAGACGGGGTTACCATTTGCTTTTGGTTAAAAGTGAAATTCAACAAAAATCCGCTGATTATGAAGAATATTTGTATGAAAGCAGTTCCATTTTGTATGATTATTGCTTCGGCATGTTTTAACATTGTCTCAATAAATTCCGAATTTTGCATGTGGGATGTCAGTACAAGTAAGTAAACATGAGCAGATATCACTAAATACACTCCAATAATTCGAATTACATTAAAGCCTTCTAAGTTTTTAATTAAATCATTTGGATTGGGGCGCCTCGTCAAACGATGGTAGTTACGTAAAAACGAAAAAGACGTCAAAATCTTTTCAACTAAAAAATAGGATTGATCTATTAGTAAAATATATCAAGATTAAAATATATATGTTAATGCTATTATTACCATTTGTATTTAAATCTTCTTTATAGAAATTTTTAGTGCAAGCAGTTTGAGATTTCTTTTTTTTGAGAGCATAATCATATATACTTGATGCAATATTAAGAACCAAAATAACACCAAAAATGTAATAAGCTATTATATCCAATGTATCTATATAAAAAATTTTTTTATAAATTGCATTAATATCATTAAGTATTTAAGTATTTGTACAGGTTGTGAACGGTATGAGAGAGATATAGTGGGTGATATAAAAGCTATCCACAGTTTTCGGATTCATTTTGCAACAAATATTTATCGATTTCTTACAGATTTGCCTGAGCTGTCATCCTAAAATATTGGGGACTTAGCTAGATGCATAGAATTGTCAGGTTGGTACTGGCCTTCTAGTCTATGTACAAACCAACGCTATTTTTGTGGTATTACAACGGGACATTATTTGTGCTCAAATGGACTTTCTTGGTATATAAGTCCGAAACTCCAACCTAACCAAATATAAACTGTTAAGTGGTAGATGTTTAGTGCCTCGGGTATCTTTTGTTAGCTTACGTATTGGTCTTGTTCTATCAGTTGCAAAATTTCATAGACTTTTTATGTGACAAAAAATGACTGATACTTTTTATATCACCAAATATATGTATGAGTTATTTTATTATAAGCGAAAAATTAAGTATTCTAGTTCAAGTAAAATATTTTATGGATCTTAGTAAATAATATATATATATTTATATAAGTAATAAAATGAATTTATAAATAGAATTCAAAATTTTTTCATTGCTTTAAATATGCCTTTATATTAAAATTACATATATTGAATGCCTCTAAATTTACAATTAAAAATAACTATATTTAATTAATCCATAGTTGGTTTATGATTTTGTTCTAATAAACCACAGCAAGTAAGGTTGTTAATGAGAACTTTCACAGTAAATTAATAAAACTCCAAGTTTGAACATACAAGTCAAGTACGGCTTTGGGTCAGTCGACTAATAAAGGCTGACTCTGAGCTTCAATTATGGCAGAGCAAAAATTCAATTAATTAAAAATAATATAATCTTGTTGTTGTGATTTAATAAATTATAATATATATATATATATATATAATAAATTATTATTATAATACTATAATAATTATAATATTAATAATGTTATATATATGTATAATATTATTATTACATGTATTATTATATATTCAACATTTTCAAAACTTACCATTATCACTAAATGGAGTTGAGTTTCCACTCTGACAATATTCAATATAGGTGCGAAGTTTTAGGTTATATTTTTCCATAAATTTATAATTAAGGCAAATATTTGTCACATTCTTGTAGTTTGCCTTTAATTCAGCATTATTTTTATGTACAGTATCATAATATGACGCAAGCTTAATTATAAAATTCGTTATTATTTTCACCAATTTATTTTGTTTAGAAACGAGTAAACTCACCTCATTATCTTTAATTTCACCAGTAATATATTTTTCAATGTCAGTGTTTAAGGATTTCACAATGTTTATGCAAGTATTTAAACAAACTCCAAAAAATAAATGATCATGTCTGTAATTATATCTAAAATCAGATGATAGCTGTGTAATATTTTTCCATAATGTGGATGTTGCATTTGGTATTATTTCTGCAAAAACAACACAGTATGTATTGTTTGGGGATGGAAGAGCTAAACAGCTATCGTAGTCTTCAAATGAATGGAGAGGTGGTATTGCTTGAAGATGATAATATATATAAATATTTAAATTAATGTGTTTTGGTTATTAAAGAGAATTATATTATAAATAGTGATAATGGTATATAACTAAATTATTATTTATTTATAATATAAATAATAAATTATAAATAATAACTATATATAAATAAGTAATAAAAAATATAATATTAATATACTATAGAATATAATGATAATACTGTTTTTTATTCAAAGCACGAAATTAGCATATATTGTTTTCGAAATGTTCTAATATATAGGATATTAAAGGGACAGTTTTTCATAAAAATCTTTACTAAAAAAACCTTTCAGATGAACTGAAAAGTTTTATAAGGACTTTATACTAATATATTTCATACTAATATTTCATACTAATTTTTCCATAAATGCTATAATTAATAACGAAAAAAAATCTTTAGCTTATCATCTATAATAATGATATTTGAAAGTTAGTTCTACATTAAAGTTTTTCGCTCTCTATCTTAGACAACCAAAGAAAAGTACCAACTTGAACTATTCCACTTAACTTTATCCGAAATTATGATATGTTTAAAGTACATAGATAATGTATTGAACAAGTTTTTAAGGTGACTGTGGTATAGTTTAAAGAGTCGGCTCAAATATAGAAACTAACCATTCTACAGTAAGAACTATGAATGGTGCCAAATACTCCTTTTAAATCCTAATCAATAAAAGATTACTTTATAATATTTATTATTTACAAATATAGAAACAAAACATATATATAAATAAATATACTTCCTTTATAATGTTCAGAATACCAAGAGAAATGATAAGAAGTAAAAATAATGTAAAATTTTGTATATTATATATTTTTTAATATAAAGCCGTAACTCCAACTAAAAATAATAAATGCTTAATTATTATTTATTTATTATATATATTTAGCATTTATTATTTTTGCTCCAACGAATTGTTTTATATATGTATTATTCCTTAAAAGACAACCGATTCTAAAACGCGAACTGTTAACATAAGAGACAATGTTAAGCTTATGAGTTAACAGAAAAGTTAACATTAAATTTGTAAGTTAACATAGAAGTTAACTTACCATACTGAGATAGCATCAGTATGGTTTTTTACATCATATTTATACTTTAAAACCTGTAAAACACAACTAAGGTTAGCAAATTAATTAAATTTAATTTGTATATAAATATAATGCATATATATATTTAACTGATGTTAATGTAATACTGTATCATATAGATTAAGATGGTGTAATTTAATATTATTTAAATCATTATAACAAGTATTGAGTAATTGATTAGATAGTAATTGATAATTGCTATCTAAAATATATAAATACAAAGTAAGAAAAACTTGAAGCATGAACTGGTCATTTTTATAAGTTAAAGTTAAAAACTGGTTTCATTTTGTAAGAACACATACGTACATATTAGTGGGAATAGAATCATTATCAGAAGCCTTCGTGTGACACCTTGATCCATTAAAACCAAGGCTTTAAAACGATTTATGAATATTTCAGGATTTTAAAATGTTTCATACTTAGAAAAAAAGTTTCTATAAGTTTAATAGGGAAGTGGGAGTGGAAGAGAGAGAAGATTAGACTATTGAAAATAGTGAGATTGTTATGAGTTAAAATGTCAGATAAATAGGATTAAACAAGGGCTGTTTATTTTGGAATACGATTTTTAAAGTAATGCCGAATATGATATTATCGCTTAAGATTTATGAGAACGAAGTAGGAACCAGCAGAAGAGGAAGGCGATCAAGAAAACGATGGAGAGACAGTGTGCAGCAGGATTTAGAAGTCATGAACATAAGAAATTGGAAAACAAACGCAAAAAATAGAGAGGAATTGAAGGATGTTGTTAAACATACAGTCCTACATGGACGGTATAGTCACGGATGATAGTGATATTTTTAAGATATATATATATATATATATACGATATATAAGTTAAAATACATTAGTTGAAGTCATGAACATAAAAAATTGGAAAACAAACGCAAAAAATAGAGAGGAATCGAAGGATGTTGTTAAACATACAGTCCTACATGGACTGTATAGTCACGGATGATAGTGATACGGATTCTTAAAGTTTTCACTTCATCTGCTTGAATAAAGACAATATCCTTAACTTAGGACTTTTATAAATCACTAAACTGCACAACATTTAATAATATTTTTTTAAGTATTACTTTTCACTACACCGTTCATAAAAGTTTTAATACATATCTTGTTCTAAAATATATATAGGTATATATATATTAATAAATTAATAATAAAAAACAATTTTAAAGTTCACTTTAAAACTATTTAATAAAATAAATAACGCACTTATTGATTCAGCAACAACATTCCGTAATGCATATAACAAAAAAAATTGAAAAAAAAATATTTTCCGTACATTTATTTTACGACTGAACATTATAGGTTCCGAACAACTTCTAAGAATGATTTCTTAAATATTAGAATGCTAAACTTAAAATAGTTCTAAGCTGTTAAGTGTTTAACTTTGCATGCGAAAATTAATCGGTTGAGTAATTAACAGTTAATAATCAATGCATTAATTAATAACCAATTAATAAAATGTGCTTTA